AATTACTATTATAATAGTTATTACAATATTTATTAAATTTGAAATTGATTAATAAGTTATTAATATTAACTTAAGAGGTTATTATAAGTAAATTAATCAATTTAATTTGACTTTAAAAATTAAATTTTAAAAAGATATTTACAAAATTAAAAAAAATATATTTACTAATTTTTATTTTAAATTGGTGATTTAGGGTATTGCTAGGCCTGAACGATCTGATAGGAACGACGACGAGATGGATGAGTATATTGACGAATCTAGACACCGACACTCGAAGCAACGGGGTATAACTGCGTCCGCTCGTCGGGATCGAGAATTCATTATCCAAGAGGCTCGGAGGGTACAGACTAGCCAGACAGGAAGTTCGAGACTGCAGACACCTCTACCAGATGGTCAGAGGGGATATTGTACACCACCAGTACTAGTTGGTCAGCAGGGATATGTTGCACCACCATTGTACGAGCTCAGTCAGCATAAATATGTTTTTGCTGGCCAGTCAGGCAGCTCGATACCCCCTGCACCAGCACCAGCACCAGCATCAGCATCGGACGGTCAGCAGGGATATTATGTTGATGAGTCGGTAGCCCAGATGGCTGAGGATTCTGACGAGTCGGCATCTTCACATGATGAGGGCGATGACGATATTCCTGCACAGGCTACGCTTCCTGTGCAGCCTGCGGCTCCTTCACGGCCTGTTCATCCTGCTCCTCCACGACATGCTGGGGGATGTTTTGCTAGCGCTGGATCCTCAGGTAAATAATTTACGTATTTATTGTTGTTTGTTATTAAATAGGGTGTTATCACAAGTTATTGGTACAGTCGCGACTGGCGAGATGAAGTCGCGAGTCGCGAATTCACATATTTCGGCTATGTTAAACTCGCGACTCGCGACCTCGACTCGTGACTCGCGAGATAATGTCGCGCGGCGCGAGATTAAGTCGCGAGTCGCGATTTCACAAAGCCAAAAGTACAAGAATCTCGCGACTCGCGACCTCATCTCGCGCGTCGCGAGTACAGTCGCGACTCGCGAGTTGATGTCGCGAGTCGCGAGATTCTGGCTATTGCTGCTCTGTCAAGCTCGCGACTCGCGAGACGAATCTCGCGACTCGCGAGACGAAGTCGCGAGTCGCGAGTTTAACAGACTCTGCTTTTTTTTGCTCGTTTGTACTCGTTTTGGCTTCGTTTTTCGCGCACTTTATATCAAAATGACCCTTAGCCCTGTTTTAGTGACATTATGTTCTATTCTAATGAAGGTACTAGCAAACAATCTAGGACTGATCGTTAGGCAGAGTGGATCGTTAGAGGTCCAGTGGACGGTGGGCCAATGGATGACAGTGTGATCCCTAGCTTTCTAGGGCACGTAGCCTCGCGATTGTGGAATGGAGAGTGCCGAGGCTTACTGAAATGCCATCTCAGAGTGCAAGCGTTCGGTAATCTAAAAGATTGGCGAGGTGATATGTCTTCCGAGACACTTGATATGATCAAGGGTACTGGACTGAAACATCTGGCAGACTCCATGCATGCCCACTTGGACACTCCACTGCTTACCGCATTTGTGGAGCGATGGCAGCCAGATACTAACTCATTTCACCTGCCTTTTGGTAAAATGAGCATTATGCTGCACGATGTCTGGGCCATTTTGGACATTCCTGTAGAGGGATCCATGGTCGTTGAGGAGCCGGATACAAAGGCCTGCCAGGATTATTTCATGGATATACTTTTGGTCAGTAAGACTGACCTCGTTGGGACGTTCTAGCAGCGCGATTGTGTGGGGTAAAGACCAATTGATGTTGGATGAGGCTGGTGCCTGGGTTTGGTTGCTGATGTCTACCACCTTGTTCGACGACAAGAGTGGTAGTAGAGTGACTCCCAAGCTCCTAGCTGAGGTGCTTAACGGCGTGGATGCCATTGGGGGTTACTCGTGGGGATCGGCTACGCTGGCATATTTGTACCGACAGTTAGGTATTGCCAACAGAGGGGACTCCAGACAGCTTTCCGGCTGCTTAACTCTTATGCAGTCTTGGATTTATAAGTATTTTCCCGATTTCTGACCCCAGGGGGGACGTCTACCCCTCGGTCCTAACGACTCCGCACGATCTCAGATGTGGAGCCCACCGGCGGGTCAGAGGAAGGACGAGCGTCTCAGAGCCATCCGTCGGAGATAACATAATAATTTCTCATCCCTAAAGCAATAATATCTAACGTCCAATTTATAACATAATTATTTCGATTCGATAATATAATAATTTCTAATCCCTAAAGCAATAATATCTAACGTCCAACTTATAACTCCTAACAGGATAATATCTAACGTCCAATTTATAACATAATTATTTCGATTCGATGATATAATAATTTCTAATCCCTAAAGCAATAATATCTAACGTTTAATTTATAACATAATTATTTCGATTCGATAATATAATAATTTCTAATCCCTAAAGCAATAATATCTAACGTCCAATTTATAACATAATTATGTCAAATTTATACCACAATAATAATTTCTATAACAAAATAAATTCTAATAATATTTTATATAAAAAAAAGGTGTTCGGCCGGTCGGACCGGATGGACCGGCTACGTCCGACCATCGCCGCCGGACACCACATGGGCCGTACGGCCGGTCTGACCGGACACAGACCGGTCCGTACGGCCATACAAACCATACGTGCCCCTTTATGTCCGGCCGACCCGGCCGGACGCCGTTAATGTCGTCCGGTTCGACCGGCCAGACAGGCCCGGTTCCGTTCGTTTTCGTCGGCCGGACGGGAAAAAAAAATACCTCAGAGGAAGAACTCATTTTGCTGTAAGGGAAAAATGAAAAGGGCGAAATCGTCCAAGGGGGGGCGGTAATTAGTAACACCCTTTATAAAAAGGGAGGCAAGAAAAGGTGGATATGACGCGTTGAACTGGAGGTATGAAACAAAGCGAACTACTCGTAAGTCCGTTTTAAATGAGTGGAGCTCGATTTGAAAAGCTCGAAAAGTATAGACTTTGAAGAAATTTTCCAAATGCTTACTTACGTCAACTCGTTGAAACCCGAATTCAACTCGTTAATTTGATAGATGAGTCAAGTTTTGAGCTCATTTATCTCCTCATTTAGTTAACAAGATGACTTCAACTCGGCCTCATAGAGAAACTTGTATCAAAAGTTGAAGTTAGGCAATTTTATTGGCTCATTTACATACATTCTATCTTAAATGAAATTAATTGCACTTTTACTGTTTAAAAAGGAAAAATCGCATCAATAATGATTTATTCTCAAATAATTAAACAATTCCCTAAAATTTATTTCCAAACAAGAAGAGTCCACCTTTTAAGATC